GAGAGAGGGAGACTGATCTGAATGTAGATGGCGATGTGGATATAGTTGCAGATAGAGGATAAGTTACCAATAAGGATATAGCTGTCCATATGGTGTAGGTATGGATTAGGACAGAGCTGTGGGTGTAGACATGGATATAGACATAAACATCAATGTAGACATAGATATTACTGTGGATATAGACGTAGAAGGAGATAAAACAGACCTTGAGTGGCCAGGCAAAGTGGCTCACGCCTATAATCCCAGCACTTTGGGAGGCTGAAGCAGGCGGATCACCTGAAGTCAGGAGTTCAAGACCAGCCTGGCCAACGTGGTGAAACCCCATCTCTACTAAAAATACAAAAATTAGCCAGGTGTGGTGGCGCACGCCTGTAGTCTCAGCTACTTAGGAGGCTAAGGCAGGAGACTCGCTTGAACCCAGGAGACGGAGGTTGCAGTGAGCCAAGATCACACCACTACACGCCAGCCTGGGTGACACAGCAAGACTCTGTCTCAAAAAACAAACAAACAAACAACCAGACCTTGAGGAAACCGTGAGAAAGGAATGGGGTCACCTGGACTAACTGTGGACCATTGCCAACAGGAGGTCACAGCAGATGTCACAGAGACAGCCTCCTACAAACGCTCCACAGCTAAGCTCTTCAGGTCTTCTGGAAAATCCCAAATATCAGAAAGTGCTTTCTTGGTTGGGCACAGTGGCTAATGCCTGTAACCCCAACACCTTGGGAGGCCAAGACAGGAAGATTGCTTGAGGCCAGGAGTTCAAGACCAGCCTGGGCAACATAGCAACACCCTGTCTCTCTAAAAGAAAGAAAGAAACAAACAAAAACAAAAACAAAAAAACAACCTTTCTTTCACGCTCCCAGCCATCCTTCCCTTTTCTAGTTTCTGGATAATCAATTTAATCAATTTGCCCCCTAAAATGTGAAAATACAACTCATTGTTTTCAGTCAAAAGTTGTATTTTTTTTTTTTTTTAAGACGGAGTCTCGCTCTGTCGCCCAGGCTGGAGTGCAGTGGTGCGATCTCGGCTCACTGCAAGCTCCACTTCCCAGGTTCACGCCATTCTCCTGCCTCAGCCTCCTGAGTAGGTGGGACTACAGGCACCTGCCACCACGCCCAGCTAATTTTTTGTATTTTTAGCAGAGATAGGGTTTCACCGTGTTAGCCAGGATGGTCTTGATCTCCTGACCTCGTGATCCGCCCACCTCGGTCTCCCAAAGTGCTGGGATTACAGGAGAGAGCCACAGCGCCCGGCTGTATTTTTCTTTTCTTTTTGAGACAGAGTCTTGCTCTGTTGCCCAGAATGGAGTGCAATGGCGTGATTATGGCTCACTGTAACAGCCTTGTCCTTCTGGCCTCAAGTGATCCTCCCCACCTCAAGTGATCCTCCCCTGTTAGTCTGCCAAGGAGCAGGGATTACAGGTGTGAGCCACTGCACCCAGCCTTCAGAATGAAGTTTTCTCTCCTTTCTCTTACCTTTCTCATATAAACCGTGTTTTGATTTTGAATGTTGACAACAGTCGTATGGCCATCTCCCTTCCCTCTCCATGCCAATGTCCAAAACAAAATCAGATCCAATGAATAAATATTTAAAAGTTTGTTGTGGCTGGGCTATAAACCCCCGGGAAGGTAGGGCCTGGGCTGTTTCGGTCCCCATCTAGGCAGGATCAACCCTGGTGAATGCATGTGGAGGGAAGAAAGGAAAAGAAAGGGAGGAAGGGAGAGAATAAGAGGGGGATGGAGGATGGTGCCCTTTAAAATCAAAACCTCTGGTTTCATCTTTCTTCCCTGAACTGGCTCCCCATGCCCACCAGAGGGCGCTCTGACCCAGCAAATTCCTCATACAGCAACAGCCCGTTCTTCACACAAAAGAGAATTATGAAAATAAGGATTGACACCAATAATCGATACTTAAAACCCTACTGTGATCAGTACCTGTGCTAAATCTTCCACGTGCCTAACTCAACACAGCAACTCTGAGAATATCTTATAAATGAGGAAAGTGAGGCTCAGAGAGGTCATTTAACTTTCCCAGTGTCACACAGCACATAAGCTGCAGAGAAGCTTCCAGCTCTGGCCTTGGTGACACCCCAGCCTTCTGTTCCTTGATCACACCCTTACGTGACTAACCCACAAGGCCCTCTGTACCTGGCCCTGCCACCTCCTCCCCAACCCCCATCCCGCTGCTCAGCCACACCCTTCCACCCCCAGCTCCTTAGACATCCTGTTCTCCATTTAGTCACTGGGATCTTAGCCCATTGGCTGCCTCGAAAGCACTTTTTCCCTTTCCCTACCCCCACCTCCCACAAATGGTCACCTCCTCCCTTCAGCTCAATGTCACCTCCTCTGAGTAAGCCTGTCCTGATCCAGGGTTAGCTCCAGCTCCTCCTACCCACCTCCCCTAAGAATCCAGGCTTTCCCTGCGCTGCAGGAGGCAGGGCTTCAGTCATCATCGCGTCCTCAGAGCCCTGCACAGGCACTACAGAAAGACTGAATCAATGAATGAATGAATGAAGTCTACGGGGTTAAACCAATGAGCATTCAATGAGTGACATCCTCTCCCTCTCTCCCAACCAGAAGCTGAGACATTCTCTAACAAACACCCACAGCCAAGAAGAGGTCCCGGACCTGCTAGCCAAGAGTACATGCTTCAGGCTCCCAGGACCCCCACAATTCATCCTGCTGAGGCTGTCGGGGGATGCTGCCAGGAGTCTGTTGGAAGCCAAGGCCCTAGGGCTCCTGGAGAGGGTCCCATACTCCCTTCAGTCCCTCCCCAATCCAGGTACAGTGAGTCTCACTAATGCCATCATGCCTTTAGGGCAGAGTCTCCTGCTTTCCAGCCCAGAGTCCACTTACCTCTCCTGAGTGATTCACCTCCATTTCTCTCCAGGGAACCGCCCCCCTCGCCCTACTCTCCCTCCAGGTGACTCCTACAGGTCTCACCCAATCCCCTGCCCACCCAAGTCTGGCCAATCAGCACACTCCTTCCCTCCCTGGTCACTGTGATTGGGGCAGGGGCAGGCATATGATCCAATTCCTCCAATAGGAGTCAGCCCTGGGTCCTGGGCCAAATTAATGAATGAAGGGCCCTAGAACCAGCCATGCCTGAAGCCAGAATCAGCCCTGTATTCATAGTAATATGAGCCAATGAATTCCTTTTTCACTAACCTGCTTATCCAAGGCTAACTTGGATTTCTGTATTTGGGACCTAAACAGTCCTGTGTATTCCACTCTTCTAAGCATTCTCTGAGCCTCCGAGGGAAGGAGGGTGGGGGGTCTTCTCAGTGCCCTGCCAGACAGTACATCTGGCTCCAAATGCTGGACCAGGAGTTAGGGGGACAGGGAAAGGGTCTTCTGGAGTTTTTAAGACCTGGCACCATCATTTGCCGTATTCCTGAGTCTTTTCACCTTGTTCCTGGGGCTCTGGAGCTCTTGTCAACAGGGAACAAGATGACAGCTGCCTGGTAGAGACGGTATCACCATCCCTGGAGCAGACCTGTGTGGCAGGCGTATTCTCAATCCCTGCATTTGCAGGGCAGACCCAAGCTTGCACAGAGGGCAGACCAGCAGCTGTGACCAGTCATGGGGTGGGCTGAGAATAAGAAACAGCTGATTTTTCTCTCCATTATGTTGCCCAGGTGGAAGAAGGGATGAATGAATGAATGAACCCTGGGGCTCATCCTAGGGCCTGGGGCTTGGCTCACCATGACAGTGTTCCCAGACACAGGGTGCAGCCCAGGAAAGTACTGGGGCCACACACGGGGTGCTGGTGGGACAGTTAGCAAGACATGAAAGGGACCTCCTGGGTGAGACCATGCGATAATTTACAGGTATCCCAGGGGTTCTTCCTGAAGCCCAAAGATTCCCCCCTCCACCAGCAAGTCCTCACCTGAGCACCCCGCCTACTTCCCACCGCACAGCAGGGCCCAGCACGGTCATGGTAGCAGTGGCTGCCCAGAGGTCGTGGTCTTGTCTTTTCTTTTGTTTTCTTTTTTTTTTTTTTTTTGAGACAGAATCTCACCCTGTCTCCCAGGCTGGAGTGCAGTGGTGCGATCTCTGCTCACCGCAACCTCCACCTCCCAGGTTCAAGCAATTCTCCTGTCTCAGCCTCCTGAGTAGCTAGGATCGCAGGTGCACACCACCATGTCTGGCTAATTTTTGGATTTTTCAGTAGAGACAGGGTTTCATCATGTTGGCCAGGCTGGTCTCAAACTCCTGACCTCAAGTGATCTGCCTGCCTCGGCCTCCCAACGTGCTGGGATTACAGGCGTGTGAGCCACTGTGCCCAGCTGGTGGTGGTTTTTTTTTTTTTGGTTTTTTTTTCTTTTTTTTTTTTTAACCTTGATAGACTCTGTGCCCCTGCATCAGGCAGCACACCGCACAGCCTTCACTCAGTCTCTGTTTCACCTGGCCCACACTGGGTCCTAAACATCAAACTCACCCTAGATCTGGAGCCTGGTGCCCCAGAGGAAGGCCCGGTCCCACTGACTAAGCCTAGCTCTCTGTGTGAGGCCTGTCTCCCGGAGTCATGAAAGACGCCAGTAAACAAACAAGATGCATAGTCTCAGTGGGCTTTTCAGTGGGCTTCTTAAAACAAAAAATGCTCAGTTCCTGCAACAGCCTGAAAACTGTTGTCATGGAAACAGCGGTAGCCAATGGAGGAGGGAGAGACAGGCCTATCCTGGAACCCAGGCCTGCTGCGGTGGCTGATGAGGCACAGAGGAACCATCAGGATTAAGGGGCAACAGGGAGGGGGTGTCCCCATGTGGCTGGAGCAGGAGGAGTTTCCTCCTCTGCTGGCTCTGAGAGGGAGCTGCTGCCCTCAAAGGAACCCATGTGCATCCCTGGAGAACAGATCCGTAGTCTCCTGCAGATCCTCACACAGCTCTGGGGAGGGGTCCTGGGGAAAGATCACTGTGTCTAGCCAGCCAGCAGGCAGCCAGGACCCCTGAGCCCTTATCCCCACTCCAGCCTTGCCACATTCACCGGAACCGGGACTCTTAAGCCCTGCGGGTGGCTTGCCAGGGTTGCATTGACACCGTGCGCTGCAGCCCACCCCTATCTCGGGCTCCCTGCTGCTCCAAGATCAGCGCCGAGGGGGCGGCACCATGGCCATGAGCATTTTGCAGGACTGGTGCCGGAGCCTGGACGTGGACGCGCACAGAGCCCTGCTGGTCACCGGCATCCCGGAGGGCCTGGAGCAGGCGGATGTTGAAGCCGTCCTGCAGCCGACCCTCCTGCCCCTGGGCACGTTCAGGTTGCGACACATGAAGGGCTTGATGAACGAGAAGGCCCAGGCCGCCCTGGTGGAGTTTGTGGAGGACGTCAATCACGCTACCATCCCCACAGAGATCCTGGCCAAGGATGGGATCTGGAGGGTTCTGTGGAAAGACCGTGCGCAGGACATGACGGTCCTGAGGCAGATGAGATGCCTGATGCTGGATGACGGGCCCACGCAGGCTGCGGTTGCTGGGACCCTTGGGGAGGCGCCCACCCCTCCCACTTCGGAGGCCGAGGCCCAGCCGTTGGGACAGTCATCGGGAAGGCCAGTCCCCCTCCTGGGGCTACAAGCAATAGTAGGAAGAAGAGTAGGGGGTCACAGAAGTCAAGCCAGAAGCTAAAAAAGGGTCCGAGGGATGTGTCCATCTCCCTTGGCAAAGAAGGAATCCAAGGAAGTGTCCCAGGAGAGCTTGGACATCAAGATCAAGGAGGCAGATGAGGGGGCTTGAGCAGAGAGGACAATGACAGCGGGCTATACACAGCGCTCCAGGCAGCAGCCAGGGAGCAAGTTCACAAGAAGTGGACCGTCGGAAGCCACAAAGACGAGGCAGGTGGTCCCATGGAGTTCTTGCCCCTGGTGACCAGACCAGGACAGACAAAGCCAAACAGGAGATGATGGAAGAAGGTCCTCTGATTTGATGCACTTGACCGTCAAAGAAGGCAGGAGCAGTGACTCTCACATGGTGGCTCTTCTGACCAGCAGAGACAGACCTGAATGAGATGCCGAAGGACTGTAAGGCTTCAGAAAGTGGGCGGCTGCAACCACCCGGTCACAGAGCGGGGCTGGAGGACCCTGAGTTCCTGACCACTGTGGCCTGTACCAGCCCTTCAGACACCAAAAGCACCCAGGAGGTATTGAAAATCGCTTCTGAGGCGTGGTGCGGTGGCTCACGCCTGTAATCCCAACACTTTTGGAGGCCAAGGTGGGCAGATCACCTGAGGTCAGAAGTTCAAGACCAGCCTGGCCAACATGATGAAACCCTGTTTCTACTAAAAAATACAAAAATTAGCTGGGTGTGGTGGTGTGTACCTGTAATCACAGCTACTCGGGAGGCTGAGGCAGGAGAATCGCTGGAGCCTGGGTGGCAGAGTTTGCAGGCAGCTGAGATCGCGCCACTGTACTCCAGTTTGGGTGATAGAGCAAGACTCCATCAAAGAAAGAAAGAAGGAAAGAAAGAAGGAAGGAAGGAAAGGAAGGAAGGAAGCCCCTCTCCCCAACTCAGGCTTCCTAGACTCAAATCCTGAATCCACCGCTTACCATCTGTGTGACCTTGCATAGATATTTAACTTCTCTGAGTCTCAATTTGTTTATTTGCAAAGTGGGAAGGATACTATTTTGTGCTTTATAGGGTTGTTATTGTAACTTATCACACACACACCCTGTGCCTGGTATGCAGAGAGTCTTATATACCAATTAGCTGTTGTTGTTTGCTTGTTTTGTTTTGTTGTGTTGTGTTGTGTTTTGCAGAGGGGGGTATCACTCCGTCACTCAGGCTGGAGTATGATAGTGCAATCTCAGCTCACTGAAACCTCTGCCTCCCAGGCTAAAGCGATTCTCCCACCTCAGCCTCCCAAGCAGCTGAGACCACAGGCTCATGCCACCACGCCTGCTAATTTTTTGTATAGAAATGGGTCTCACTATGTTACCCAGGCTAGTCCCAAACTCCCGGACTCAAGCAATCTTCCTACCTCAGCCTCCCAAAGTGCTGGATTACAGGCATGAGCCACGCAGTTATTGCTGCTGTTGTCACTGTGGGGAAGTGGCCAAGGGCACGGGTTTGGAGCCAGATGGTCCTGGTCTGAGTGTCAGTCTGCCACATGTTTGGCCTCAACTCCCTGAGCCTTAACGTCCTCACCTGTAAAACTCAACCTCAGGACACTCTTGCTAAGTTCAGTCGTGATTCCTTACGCAAAGCATTTAGCACCCCTCCTGGTGCTATGTAAACACAAGCCATAGCTATGAGGATGTAGGAACACGGTGGGAATCCTGCCTGTGATGATGACTGCGTGTGGAGTGCCCCTGCTGGACAATCACAGAACAGCAGAACTGCCCTGACGGGAGACCTCTATCTCAGGATCCTCGACTGTAAAATTATGGTAACAGTAATGCCTATATGAGATTGAAGATTCGTTGAGTTAATACGTGTAAAGTTTCTCGAGTAGCATGATGGGTTAAAGATGAGTACAAATTCCTTATCCTTCTCCCCATCCAGAGGTGGAGTTTATAGAATGAGACGGAAGGAACACTGTTACTGATGTGGGATGTAGACTTCAAGAAGACTGGCGGCTTCTGCTTACTGACTCTTAGAACACTTGTTCTTGGGACACTGTCCCTGAGAACCCAGCCACCATGCTGCGGAAGCCCAAGCCACATAGAGAGGCTATGGGTAGTTGCGACAGTTGACAGCCTCAGTTGAAACCCCAGCCAACAGTCAATATCAACTGGTAGGCATATGAGTGCACCATCTTGGGTGTTCCAGCTCATTCAAGCCCCCATGTGACTGCAGCCCAACCAACATTGCAGGAAGCTGAAAACTGTCCTGTTGAGCCCTGTTAACCCACGGAATCGTAAGAGACAATAACAAGAGTAATAATTATAAATTATACATTATATTTTACTATATCAGTATATCTCTAATACATATATATATGAGGGATTAATACATAATTATTAATTATTATTTTATTTAGACAAGGTCTCACTCTGTCACCAAGGCTGGAGTGCAGTGGTGTGATCATGGCTTACTGCAGCCTCGACCGCCTGGACTCAAGCAATCCTCCCCCACATCAATCTCCCAGGTAGCTAGGACTACAGGTGTGCACCACCAAACCTGCCTAATTCTTCCGTACTTCTTTGGAGAGACGGAGTTTCACCATGTTGCCCAAGCTGGTCTTGAATTCCTGGGCTCAAGCAATCCACCTGCTTCAGCCTCCCTTAGTACTAAGATTACAGGCGTAAGCCACTGCACCTGGCCAATAATTACTGTTTAAACCACAACATTCTGGGGTAGTTTGTTATGCAGCAATAAAGTGTTGAAACAAATATTATTTAGAACATAGTAACCATAAGCTGCTATTATTATGTCATTTAATCTTCACAGCAACTCTGTAAGGCTGACATCAATAGTATCTGTATTAGTCCGTTTTCACACTGCTGATAAAGATATACCCGAGACTGGGCAATTAACAAAAGAAAGAGTTTTAATGGACTTACAGTTCCACGTGGCTGGGGAGACCTCACAATGATGGCAGAAGGTAAAAGTCACGTCTCACATGATGGCAGATGAGAGTGTGAGAGCCAGGGAAAAGGAGTTTTCCCTTATAAAACCATTAGATCTCGTGAGACTTATTCACTACCACGAGAACAGCATGGGGGAAACCGCCCCCATGATTCAACTGTCTCCCACTGGGTCCCTCCCACAACACGAGGGAATTATGGGAGCTACAATTCGAGCTGAGATTTGGGTGGGGACACAGCCACAGCATATCAGTACCCAGTTCTGTAGGTGTAGAAACTAAGACCGCACCCTTAACCACACTGTAGTATTTGATGGAAGTTGAAGGACCTAAAATGGATTTCTTGTGTCAGAAGATTTAGCTGAGGGAATCAAACACAGATCTGTGATTGGGCGGGAAACAGCAAACCCAGAAGCCTTTGGGGAAGCACCTCCCAAGAGGTGTATAAGATACATGCACTTCCCATCTGTGGAAAAGTTAACAGAAAACTGTGTGTATGCACGGGGACAAGTTACTCATCTACTAGTGGGAATTTTCTTTATTTATTATTTTATTTACTTATTATTTTCTTTATTATTTTATTTACTTATTATTTTTTGAGAAAGCTGGAGTACAGTGGTGTGATCTCGGCTCACTGCAACCTCCGCCTCACAGATTCAAGCAATTCTCCTGTCTCAGCCTTACGAGTAGCTGGGATTACAGGTACACGCCACCACGCCCAGCTGATTTTTGCATTTTTTAATAGAGATGGGGTTTCGTCATGTTGGCCACGCTGGTCTTGAACTCCTGACCTCAGGTGATCCGTCTGCCTTGGCCTCCCAAAGTGCTAGGATTACAGGCATGACCCACCGCGCCTGGCCAGAAATTGTTTTAAAACAAGTTTCAAATACTTAGATTCTGGCTTGGTTAAAACTATGGTTTAAGGCTGGGCACAATGAGTCACGTCTATAATCCCAGCACTACTTTGGGTGGCCGAGGCGGGTGGATCACTTGAGGCCAGGAGTTTAAGAACAGCCTGAGAAGCATGGTGAAACCCCATCTCTACAAAAAAAAAAAAAAAAAAAAAAAAAAAAAGCACACGTGCAGTCTTAGCTACTTGAGAGGCTGAGGTGGGAGGATCACCTGAGCTCAGGAGGTTGAGGCTGCAGTGAGCCATGATCACGCCACTGCACTCCAGCCTGGGTAACAGAGTAAGACCCTGTCTCAGAAAACAAAACAAAGCAAAACAAAATGAAATAAAAACTATAGTTGAAGCTGTTGGCTGCAAGTTCCAAAGATATTGGTGGGTGTATTAGTTTGCTAGGGCACATATACTGGGTGGCTTAAACAACAGAAATCTATTTACTCACAATTCTGGAAGCTAGAAATCTGAGATCACGGTGTTGGCAGGATGAGTTTCTTCTGCAGCCTCTCTCCTTGGCTTGCAGATGGCTGCCTTCTTCCTGTGTCTTCACGTGGTCTTCCCTCTGTACCATCTGTGTCTAAATTTCCTCTTCTCTTTTTTTTTTTTTTTTTTTTTGAGACAGAGTCTCACTCTGTCGCCCAGGCTGGAGTGCGGTAGTGCAATCTCGGCTCACTGCAGCCTCCACCTCCCAGGTTCAAGCAATTCTCCTGCCTCATCCTCCCAAGTAGCTGGGACTACAGGCACCCACCACCACGCTGGCTAAGTTTTGTATTTTTAGTAGAGATGGGGTTTTGCCGTCATGACCAGGCTGGTCTCGAACTCCTGAGCTCAGGTGATCCACCCACCTTGGCCTCCCAAAGTGCTGGGATTACAGGCGTGAGCCACTGTGCCCGGCCTAAATTTCCTCTTCTTATAAGGACATCCGCCATGTTGGCTTGGTGCCCACTCTAAAGACCTCATTTTAACTTAATTGCCTCTCTAAACACCCTTTCTCCAAGTATAGTTATATTCTGAAGTACTGGAGGTTAGGACTTCAACACAGGAATCTGGAGGGAACACAGTTAAACCCGTAACAATGGGAAACTCAGGACTGGACAGACTGTGGGCAGAGGTGTTTCCCAGGCAGGAAGGGAAGGCTCTAATTGGCTTACAAGATTGTAAGGTCCATATGAGCAGAAACCTATGTTCGAATTGTTCACTTCTATGTTCCTGAATTATACTGGCACAGAGGAGATGCTCAGTAAATGTAAATTGAATAAATGAAAAAAATGAGGCCGGGCACAGCGACTCACACCTGTAATCCCAGCACTGAGGCGGGCGGATCACCTGAGCTCAGGAGTTCGAGACCAGCCTGGCCAACGTGGCAAAACCCCGTCTCTACTAAAAATACGAAATTTAGCCGGGCGTGGTGGCAGGAGCCTGTAATCCCAGCTACTCTGGAGGCTGAGGCAGGAGAATCGCTTGAATCTGGGAGGCAGAGGTTGCAGGGAGGTGAGATCTTGCCATTGCACTCCAGCCTGGGTGACAAGAGCGAGACTCAAGTCTCAAAAAAAA